CCCCAGCCAGCAAGGCTGGCTAGGGAATTCTGGGAGTTGAAGTCCACCCATCTTAAAGTTGCCACGGTTGAGGACCCCTGCATTAGATGGAAGAAACTGGGTGGCTGAGTGGGGTGACCTGAGGGTCACCAACTGCAATGTCTACATTACAGAATTTAACACGTGGTTGGTTGCTAATCAAGGGAGGCATCTGGGTGTTCTCAAGGTCTCTTGCCGCCCCAGTAGGTCACTGGCCTCGGTATATTGCAGGCAAACAGCTTCCTTGTGATTAACCGGCACACCCTAAAACTTGGCTGCGGTGTTGTGCTACTGCAACCCTGTGTTCAGTGGTTACACAAGGCTATTTTATTTCCTGTGCCAGCCCGGATGCATTTGGAAGTCGGAGAAAGCAAGTCTTGCCGAGTAGTTTATAGAACAAGAAAAATTTTGAAAAATCAGGGGCAGGGTGTAGGCGCGTACCTAGATACACACAAGCCCCATGACATCACCCCCTCCCCACCAGGCTGTGAGTCTCACCGATTCCATCACCCCTGTATTGTTCGGATGTAGGAGTAGAGATGGCATAGCCGTTGTTCCGGCAGAAGAATATGACGGGGCACTCGAGGGTGGCAGCGAAGTTGAAGCCGGCATGGGCATCACCTTCGCTGGACGTCCCTTCGCCAAAGTAGCAGATCACAACCCGGTTTGTGTTCGCCCGCTTGAAGGCATAGGCGGCCCCCACCGCTATCCAGGGAAGAAGAGAAAAATGGTCAGGCCATTAATTCTTGGGGGTTCCTCAAATAAGGGCGAACGCCTCGTCCTGTATTGCTCTGCGGGGAGCGGTCTACCTGGGTCTCGAGAAGGAAATTTTGGAATCTGATTCTGCCTCACCTTGTGGGATCTGGGTAGCGAGCGGGGACGATATGGTGACAAAGTTCAGATCTTTGCAGCCATAATGCACGGGCATCTGGCGGCCTTTCCCGGGGTCACTGGCATTGCCATAGCATTGGGCCATAAACAGGTCCAAAGGGTACCCCCTGTGCATCAGGACACCTGGGAGAGATGGAGGGGAGACCAGGTTAGTGGCTTCTGCGGGCGTCTGGTACTAGGTCGGCATTAACGCTGCACCAAATGTTATGCCCAACTTGTTTGTATGTGAGGGGAAGGTAATAAAAAGGACAAAAGATATATTTAAGGCATAATCACAAAACAGTACAGTAGCAATAAGTTAAGGAGATTTTTCTCTTCTCTTCTCTTCTCTTCTCTTCTCTTCTCTTCTCTTCTCTTCTCTTCTCTTCTCTTCTCTTCTCTTTTCTCTCTTCTCTTCTCTTCTTTCCTTTCCTTTTCTCCCCAGTTGCTACTGATTCTGAATAGCATACATACACCACATATATTGTGATTGCTCTCATTAGAAACTACAAAAACTGTATTCCCTATCAAAAGCAACTGGTTGACTGTCTGGCTCATGTCTCTCCCCGTTCACTTGCCTGTAACCAACAAACGGGTGCCAGGAAGGTTGTGAAGTGCCAAAAAGGCATTTCAGAGGGGGCATGCTGTTGGCACTTCCTTAAAGATGCTGCATTTTCCCCTAAACCTGGACTTTCACCGTAGCTCCTGGATTCCAGAAAACAGATGTCTGGGTTAAGAAGTGCCAACAGGACGCCACGCAGCATTTGGTCAGTGTGCTACTGGTGCCTCCTCAGCTCAAAACCAGCAAGGCTGGTCAATGACAGATATGAAGTCCTTTGACCTTGACTAACTCAAACAAGCCGTGTCTTGAGCTCACACGGCTATCGTGCAAATCCAGGGAAACATGCAGGTTCTTTAAAGAGGTGCCAACTGGTGCCACGTGCCCCCACGCCTGCTCCAAAAACACCTTTGAGGCTTCAGATCCAAGCGCTGCATATCTCTAGGCTCAAGATGCAAGCAACCGTAAGGGAGAATGAAGGTCAACGTGGAAAAAGAGAAAAGTGTAAATATTGTTCTATATAGATCAAGGGATAAGTCTGTATCAAGCTCATAAACCAGTGTTTCCCAACCTTGGCAACTTGAAGATGTGTGGACTTCAACTCCCAGAATTGCTGGCTGGGGAATTCTGGGAGTTGAAGTCCACACATCTTCAAGCTGCTAAGGTTGAGAAACACTGTCATAAACCAAGGTTCTAGTCCTCTGCTGTGAAGTGCTGCCCCCTGGTGGCTGCTTAGAGGAAAGCAAAGGTGTGTTGCAAAGGTTTACCTGCTTCTCGATATTGTCCGAAGACCAGGTCAGCGTCGTCCAGAGCTGCCACGCTGCCCACATGTGTGCCTTCTTCCCCATAGTTGGTCATATAAAAGGAAATCCGCCCCTGGGGATAAAAAAACAGGGAAGGACTGTGAGGGCCTTTCCTCTGGGGGAGCCAGTGCTTCAGGTTCAAAGCCCAAAGATGCTTTGAAGCCCCCAGGGGTGCCTCAGTAGCACCTGTTCGGTTGGCAATCCCTTGAAAGCGGCTGCTTCCTTTCCTGCCGTGGCATGGCCACCCTCCGTGCGGATCCTGCAAAAACGCGCCTTCGGTTTAAGAAGCTGCAGGCGGCGCGAGACGTGCCCTTCCGTGCCCTCCGAGGCGCTCTGCGGCTTGGAATCCAAAAAGCTGCACCGCCCCACCCTCCGTTCACTCAGAGCGGCAAGGATTGTGCCCACTCTGTCCCCGAGGATCAAGCTGGCCTTTTCACAAAGAGTGATCCAGAGAGGCCCTGCCCCGGACCCGCCCTCCCTGCAACCCTACCTGTCTCTGGGACTCGTAGAGGATCCGATCCATGGTGTTGAGAAGCGTCATGCTCTTGTAGAACTTGAGCACCTCCTCTTGTGAAATCTGCGGAGAGGAAGCCGATGGAGCAGAGAAGGGGCGGGAAGTGAAGAGAATGCCTTTTATTTCCGCAGGGTTTGGGGCAGCAGGGAGGGGTCAGCCGGAGCCCACATCTCACCTGCGGATCCTCACTGGGATTGACGATCTGGCCCTGCCGGTCCATGACCCGGTAGATGGGGATCCCTGAAATGACATTGGGCTGGATAAACTCCAGCCTGTCTATGAACTCGGCGGATGCTCCCGGGAACTGTGGCTTCTCCTCCAAAGAGGTAAATTCTTGCTGCCGCACACATCCCTGATGGAAGAGCAGAAAGATGCGCACGAAGGTGAGCGCTGCAGCCCCACCGCTGGCCTGGGAGGGGCACCCACGGGCCGGACTGAACTCCAAAATCTGCAGCTCCGTGCAGCTGCTTTCAAGTGGTGGCCGTGACATAAAAATGGACGCTGGAGCAGAAGATGGTCACTTAGCACCCTCCAAATGCCCCTTGAGTGCTCCTTGGCTCCAGTGAGCATGGGCCAAGAAGCAGCCAGTGGGTATTGTAGTCTAAGACCATAGAGAGAACCAACCTTTTGCCCCCACCTAGAGCTTGACGTTTGAAAAGATGGGCCCTGAGCATAACCCCTGGTGCCTTCATGGACACGTCTCTATCGTTTTCTTGGCTGGGGTGCTATAGGAAACGGGCATTATTTCTTTCAGGATGTTTTGCCAACTTCCTGGTGCAATCAAGAGCGCTGGCATTCCCTGGGCATCGCCCACCCAAATGCTAACAGGCCTGTCCCCGTTTAGCTTTCAAGGTAGCCAGGTGAGGCCATCTGCTGCAGACAGAGAGAGGTGCACAAGATTCACCAAACCTCAGAGCAGGTGTGTTTGCGAGGTATGATAAAAAAAAAAGCTGAGATACAGCGTCATGGAAGCTCTGCCTGTGTTTAATAGACTGCCGCCATCTTGACTTTTTTGACTACGCCCTGCTGACATGTGTTCCTCCCACCCAGAGGAGTTCCATTCTGGCATCTAACTCTGGGTCACCTTAGGCGGTGGCCGAATGAAGGAAGCTACCTTTTATTTTATTTTTTCTCCTAACACGTTAAGTAAAGATGCTCTGAGTGAAGTTCAAAGGCTGGTGACGGCATGGGACCCCATCCAAGGCCTAACCAGGCCTGTCCATGGTTAGATTTTTCATGATCACCCAAGGTTAGCTAGGAGATAGATAGATAGATAGATAGATAGATAGATAGATAGATAGATAGATAGATAGATAGATAGATAGATAGATAATCTTTTCTGAAAACTCAAGGCAGCACTTATGGGAATCATTCCTCATTTTATTCCCTACCACAACCCTATAAATTAGGTTTAGCTGAGAGTGACAAGCTCAGAATCACCTGAGCCTTTAACCACTAGACCTTGCAGATTAATATGTATGCCAGTGTTTCTCAACCTCAGCAACTTTAAGAGGCGTGGACTCCAACTCCCAGAATTCCCCAGCCAGCCATCTCCACGCCTCTTAAAGTTGCTGAGGTTGAGAAACACTGGTCTAATGAATAATCTAACACATGCTTTCTCTGGGAATTCTGGGAGTTGCAGTCCACCTTTCGTAAAGCATGTTGGCTAGGGAATTCTGGGAATTGGAGTCCACACCTCTTAAAGTTGCTGAGGTTGAGAAACACTGCTCCCACCTGCTCCAAATTCTCTCATAATGAAGACTATCAACAGAAGGTGGTTTAAAACGTGAACCTGTACGAGCTGTCCCTGATTAAGATTTCACTCGCAGGAGAAGAATATTGAATTAAGAAACAAAACACCTTTTGGGGCCCAAACCCACGAAGGGAAATCATCTCATTTCACATCACGAACAGCTTTATTCACAGCTAACTGCCTCTGGTAAATAAGCCTGATGCCAATCTCTGTGCCCGCGCTGCGCTGGGGAGAAGCACGACACGCTGCCTTCCACACGCCCCCTGAAATGGCCCAATCACCGAAGGCGCTCCCGAGGGCACCGTCTGCCCCCCTCCCTTCTGCAAAGAAACCCAAGCCTCTTTCCAGGCTGGCCTACCGGCAGGGTGACCCCCCCTTCCCTGCCACTGAAAATGCCTTTTCCAAGAACGTCATGGCGTCCTGTGCATTCTTAAAAGCAGACCGGGCATTTTCTGCACCAGACGTCCCCTCCCTGAGTGTTTTGACTTCTGCACCCATTAATTTTGCAGCCGGGTGGGTGGGGTTGTGCCTGGCCCCTTGGCGGTCTTTTCCCAGAAGCAAATCCCACTGAATTTCAGTGGGGCTTGCTCTTCAGGAAGCGCGCACGCCAACGCAGGCTTCCACACGCAAACGGCAGCCTAGTTAATCCAAATATTCAGTGCAGAAAACAATGGATTTTTGGCTCCCGGCAGGGCCAGCGTTTGGCCTCCGCATAAGAGGCCACATCGAGTGCAGCAGAGCTAATAACATCCCGTTGAGATGTGCTGCATGGGGCCAGTAGAACCATGGGCATTGTAATCCAACAGACCTTGAGGACAAAAGGTATGGAAGGCTTACACACACACACACACACACACATGGTCTCGTCTTAATCATAACTACACACATCTGATA